AAAGGTAACCAGGAGTGCTTCAGAGGGCCACTGAGGGGAGGTTCTGAAAACGTGCAGGAAGGTTTCCAGGCAGATGAGAATTTCTTCCAAATTGAAGAATGTCACATGTTCAGAAAGAAACAGTAGCCAGAGGTACTTCCCAGAACTACGCAGGCACAACTTTGTTCAGAGCGTGAAGGGCGAGGATGACAAGAACGTCACGCCCGGAGTCAGTCCTGGTCCTGGACCACCTGCAGCCCAGCCTCTGGGGGGCTTGTTTCCAATGTCAATTCTCAGGCCCCTCCAGACCCACCGAGTCAGAACCTCTGCCTGGAAATTTGCACCAAGACTTCATCACATCAGGAGGGACATTGCCCCAGAGTTGGTGACCTCAGCTTGGAACATTTGGATAGCATTTTGTTCACTAGCTTAATCTGCTGTAAAATTGACATTGATGTGCTTACCTGACATATCTTTCATCTCCTTTTAGCTCTGTCTGACCTAGAACTGGTGGCCCAAGGCATTATCTTTATTTTTGCTGGCTATGAGACCACCAGCAATTCTCTCTCCTTACTTGTGTATGAACTGGCCACGCACCCCGATGTCCAACAGAAGCTGCAGGAGGAGATCGATGCGACTTTCCCCAACAAGGTGAGGTAATGACACCTGAAATGAGAGAGACAGTGAAGCCTTAGTGATGCCTCCTCACCACTTCTAATGAGATTTTTGCAAAAAGCAGGATCATAAAATCTTTTACCTGTGCTGTTTAGGAAGGACCCAAAGCACACAAAACAAAGGAGGAAACATAGGTTATGCATGCAACGCACAGAACTATCGGTACTGTGAAAATAATGCTGGTCCTGGCATATCAGTTATCACAAAATGCCCCGTAAAAGTCGCAAAACCTCAATGGCGTCTTAGAGTAAGCATTTATTGCTCCAGTGTCTGCATAGTTACCTGTTGATATGGCTGGACTTGACTGGTCTGGGTGTTGGCTGGTCCAGGCTGGCCTTGGCTAAGCTAGGGGGGCTGACTCAACTGCACACGTGCCCCACATGTCTCCAATCTCCACATGTCTGCTTCTCAGGGCAGTGGTAGGTGGCAGGAGCAAGGCGCCCAATCATGCAGGTGCCTTCAAAACTCTGCTTGCATCACACTTGGGTGACTTTCCACTGGTTCAAACAAGTCAACTGGTCAATCCCAGAGTCAAAATGGGAGGGCACCACACAGTCAGATGGCAAAGGGCATGAACACAGGAAGGGGCAGAGAACTGGGAACATTATTCAGTCTCCCACCCTGGGTAAACTGCAGACTAAGAGGAGGGTAGAAATAGAGGACATGAGCTCAAGTCGTGACTATGGTTTTGGATAAGTTATGACTTTTCAGAATCTTGGGTCCTTCATATACAAGATGAGGATACAGCATAGGGCCAACCTAAATTAGAGATGATCTGCCTTCTCTGGTAAAACCCATATTGTGATTCTTTGGATGCAATAGGAGGGAAAGGTCGCTAAGAGACAGAGACTAGCATTGTGTTCTCCTCTGTTTAAAATAATCCTTATAATAACATCAACACTATTGGTTAACATTTACTTCTTTTATATATGTCTACTTAAGTACTTTCTATTTATAAATGAACCTCACCTTCATAAAATTCAGTATTAGTCAGGAGAAGCTAGGTTATGCTCAGACACAGATTAACCCTCAAATCTCCGGGCTTTATATAGCAAATATTTACTTCTCACTCACATTTTCAAGTCCCACATGGATGGTTAGTGGAGGATGGGAATGGGGAGCTCAGACACACAGTTACTCGGGGATGCTGACTGAGAGGCTCCACCATCTTGTAGCTGTGTTGTCTGGTCCGTGAGGCCTTCTTGTTGTCTCGGGATAAGGGACTTGAGCGTTGCTCACCAGCTTTTCAAGTATTTTACCTCGAACTGACATAATCGCCTCAGTTCACAGCCCGCTGGCAAAGAAA